CCTAAGGCCTAACCAAAGGTTTTCGGAGAACGTCCCTACGGTCTTTCTAACCTGGCAGATGACAGCTAAAGGCCAAAGCTCTCCGGGCTACTCACGTACCTGCAGAAAACGATCCCCTTGCGGAGGGGAGCGCGGAGGCCAAATCACTTCTTGCCTTTACTTCCCAGCCAGACAGCGTGTTCTTACGGCCACCGGCCAAAATGGCGGTGCCCAGCCGCCGCCTCGCGCAAGCCATAGGACGTAATGCGCACGCGCGGCAGAGAGCGCAAGGCGGGGCCCCGAAGATGGGCGGGGCTAGGTGACGTCATTGTGCTGCCACTCCCCCCCCCCCCCCCCCCGCCGTTAAACATCACTGCGGGAGGCAGAGCGATCCTCAGAGGCCGAGTGGGAGTGGCGCGGGGCTGCAGGACGTCCTAAGAAGCTGAGTTGCGGGGAGCCAGGTCTGGAAGCTGTAAGTGCGTGGGCTCTTCCTCGACGTGGACGACCGTCCTAGCGCTAGCAGAGGCATTCGCCTCCCTAATCCCAGTCCCTGTTTACGTTCGCCGTCTCCTCGAGGCCGGTGGGTCCGGAGTGGAGCCTTAGTCATTCTAGCATGCCAGGGGCGTCAGGCCGGACCTACAGAGTCTGGTCCCACACTGCTGGCGGTGGCACGCTGTCCTTGGCCTTAGTTCCTCAGTCGGTCAGGTCTTCAAGGCCAGGAACCCAGTCTTCTTCGAGCCCCGTGTTTTATCCACTTGGTGGCGTCCAGTCTTAAATCTGGTGGTTGAATTCTGTCCCAACGTAGAGTTGGGCATTTCCCCCCCCCCCAGATGACAGGACATTTGGTTTGAAATGATGGCTACAGGTTTAATAGTCTCGTCCTGACCACTTGCAGGCAAGTGGCAACTACTTTAGTTTACGACTGAACCTATTCGTCCATTTATTCATTCAGTAAATTACTTATTGAGCATTTAAGTCTCAGGTCTTTCCGAAGTTTACAGTCCATCGGGCAGCGGGCCCTTTTATACTGGATAACAGCATCTCTGCCGTTATTTAACGAGGATCAAGTGCTTGGTGATTAGAGAATAACTTGGGATCTAATGGGAAAGTGTCAAGAAAATAATATACAGAACTATTGCACCTGTTTCATAATAGCGTGTATAACAATGTTTAGTGGCAGTGACTGCTGCAAAAGCAGTTTTACATATTGTGCCTTATCCAAGAAGTTACTTTTTTCACGTTTGCATAGATTTACTAAAATTAACAAAAACGTAAAAGATGAAGTCAGCCTTTTTAGGATAGGCCAGTTACTTCTAGACCTCGAAACCATTTTTCTGATTTTATCTACAGTGGTAAGAGTGGGGAGAAATGGTTATCCTCTGCATCATTTAATGGGAATTAAAAGTAAGGATCAGTGTTTACTTATTCCTAGAATAAGCGTATTTCAGTCTGACTTCCAGGGCTAAAACTCATTTGAATTTTTATTCATAGAAGTATAGAACTGCATAGCAATATAGAATTAAAAATCATCGAGTTAACTAACACCCTTGATTGGAGATGAAGTAAAACCCAGACTTGCTCAAAGTTTAAGCTAAAGGTCAAGCTGAAGCCAGAACTTTAATCTTATGCTCTTTTGGCTACTACATCCTGCTACTTTAACATCTGGTAATAATATATTTTAGAAACAAAAATTGAATTCCTAGGATTTTGAAATTACAGTGAGTTATATTAACTACATTTGAGAAATAGATGATTAATATCAGATATATGAGGGATCCATTTTGCTATTAAATTTTTATTTATTTTTACCTTTTGTATAATAATGCTCAGCTCCTAGTATAGTATGTGTATTCTTTTTTTCTACACAGAGTATTTTTTAAAATGACCACACCAAACAAGACACCTCCTGGTGCTGACCCTAAGCAGTTAGAAAGAACTGGAACAGTACGGGAAATTGGGTCACAAGCTGTTTGGTCACTCTCGTCTTGCAAACCAGGTAAAACAAAATGAAAAAACTGTTGATAATAGTCACTTACTGTTCCTTGTGTAATAGTCTCCCGTTATCCTAGGGATATTTGTTCCAAGACTCCCAGTGGATTCCCTGAAACCAGATAATACTGCATACTGTATGCATTGTTTTTTCCTGTACATAAATACATATGATAAAACTTAATTTAAGTTTTACAGGCTTGGTGGCTCAGCCTGTAATCCCGCGCCTTTGAGAGGCTGAGGTGAGTGGATTGCCTGAGCCTGTGAGTTTGAGACCCGCCTGGGCAACGAGACCTCATCTCTACAATAAATCAAAAAATCAGCCGGGTGTGGTAGCGCATGCCTGTATTTCCGGTTACTCTGAAGGCAGAGGCGGAAGGATCGCCGGAGCCCAGCAGGTCGAGGCTGCGGTGGCCGGGAGCGGCCACTGCACTCCAGTCTGGGTGACAGAGTGAGACTCCAACTCAAAAAAAAAAAAAATTAGGTACAGTACGAGATGAACAACAACTAATAATAAAATAGAACAATTATTAAAATATACTATAATAAAAGTTATGCAAATGTGATCTCTAGCTCTCAAAATCTCTTATTGTACTGTATTCACACTTGAGATGGTGTGAGATATAAAATGCCTGTGTGATGAGATGAAGTGAGGTGAATGACGTTGACATTGTAAAATAATGTTAGGCTACTATTGACCTTCTGACAATACATCAGAAGGAAGAACATATGCTTCTGGTAATCCTTGATCATCAAACCATGAGTTAGTAATGGTTGTAAAAGATGTGGCTTCTGCCTTGCTCTTGTTTGGATCACTGAATCTGGGGAAAACTAGCTGTCATTTTTGTGAGGAAGCAAGTAGCCTAATGGAATGGTGGGTTTGGCAAGGAACCATTGCCTCCTGCCGATAGCTAATGAGAAACTGAAGCCTCTTATTAACAGTGGTGTTGAGCAAACCATCTTAGAATGGATCCTTCATTCCCATCAAGCCTTCAGACAACTGCTTCAGATAACATTATTGCAAACTCCCAAGAGACCCTGAGCCAAACTGTCCAACTAAGCTGTACCAGAATTCCTTTCCATAGAAATTGTGAAACGATGCATATTTGATATTTTAAGCTGCTAAGTTTGGGGGGCAATTTGTTATGCAGTAATGGTTAACTAAGACAAAGTTGCTCCCAATTTTTGCTGATTATGAATAAAACTGCTATAAACATTCATGTAGAACTTTTTGTGTGGATTTATGTCTTCATTTTTTAATGAAAAATACTTAGGAGTAGAATTTCTGGATTATGTTGTTTTATGTGCGTGCACATGTACAAATTCCACAGTTGGCTCTATAGAACCTGCAGGTACCATATCTGGGTTTTACATCCTGAAAATACTGTATTTTAGATCCACATTTGGTTGAATCTGTAGACCTCTTGGGTATGGAGGACCGATTATTAAAAAAAAGGTGTTTAAGTGGGCCTGTGCAGTTCAAACCCAAGTTGTTCAAGTGTCAACTATATATATTTTATTTCCTTTTCTTATTACATTAGCAAGGACTTTCAATATGATGTTGAATAGGAGTGGTAAGAGAGGACACCCTTTTCTTGTTCCAGATCTTAAGGCGGAAGTATCTAGTTTCTCACCATTAAGTATGATGTTAGCTGTTTTTTTTTTTATAGATATGCTTTATCAGACGGTCCTCTCCAGTTTGCTGAGAAGTTTTATCTTGAATGAATATTCCATTTTGTCAAATATTTATCTGCATCTATTGATATGATCATATGACTTGTCTTCCTTAGCTTGGTGATGTAATCAGTTGCGTTAATTTTAGGATATTGAACCAACCTTGCATACCTTGAATAAATCCCACTTGATTGTATGTGTAATTCTTTTTATACATAAATTTGATTTGTTAATATTTTCTTGAGAATTTTTGCATCCGTGTTCTGTAATCTTTTTTTGTAATGTCTTTGTCAGACAACGTAATGTCTGGTTTTGATATTTGGATAATGCTCCCTTCATAGAATGTGTTAGAAAACTTTTCTTCTGCTTTTATTTTCTGGAAGAAATTATAGAGAACTTGTATTATTTCTTATATGTTTGATAAAATTCACCAGTGAAATCACCTGGGTCTGGTGATTTTTAGTTTAGAAAATCATTAATTATTGATTCAGTTTTTTAATACATATAGAGTATTCAAATTATTCATTTCTCCTTGTGTGAGTTTTGGTAGATTGCGTCTTTTAAAAAATTGGTCAACTTTATTTGTTATCAAATTTGTGGGCATGTGATTGTTTATAATACTCCATTATTATTATTATCATCATTATTATAATTATCCATGGTATCATTGGTGATGATTTCTCTTTCATTTCTGATACTAGAAATTTGCATCTTCTCTTTTATTTTCTTGGTTAGCTCAACTAGGAAGTTTATCAATTTTATTGAACTTTTCAAATAATTCACATTTGCTTTTGTTTATTTTTTTATGAATTTTCTGTTCAATTTCATTGATTTCTACTCTGACTTTTATTATTTCTTTTCTTCTGCTTATTTTGGATTTGGTTTGCTCTTCTTTTCCTGGTTTCCTAAGGCAGAAATTTTTATTGTATTGGTAGATCTCTTCTTATGTATATATGCAGTGTTATAGATTTTCCTCCAAGCACTGCTTTCACTGCATCTCACAAATTTTATTTTATTTTATTTATTATATTAGAGTTATGGGGTGCAAGAGAGGATTTGCTTACATAAGTAAGTTATGTGCAAGTAAGATTTGGGCTTCTAGCAAACCTTGTCTCTCCCTGTTGGTGGACATGGTACCCAGTAGATGATTATGTGTTCCTTATCCCCCATTTTCTGTCCCTCCTTTCATTAGTATTGCCCAGGGTCAATTGTTTCTGTCTTTGTGCTTGTGTACCCAATGTTTAGGGCCCACTTAGAGTGAGAATATATGATATTCAGTTTTTTAATTCTGTGCATCTCACAATTTTTAATAATTTTAATTAGTATTTATTTTAAAATATGTTAATTTCTCTTGATTCTTCTTTGATTATGTGCTATTTAATCTCCAAATATTTTTGGATTTTCCAGTTATCTTGATTTTATTGATTTCTAATGTAATTCTTTTGTGGTTTAAGAGAATACTTTCTATGGTTTCTATTTTTTTTAATTCTTAGAAATATATCTTTTATGGTGCAAAACGTGCTTCATCTTAGTGAATGTTACACATGAGCTCAAGAAAAATGTATTCAGCTGTTGTAGGATGACAGAATTTATAAATGTCAATTTGATTCAGTTGATTGATGGTACTATTCAGTTCGACTTTATCCTTCCTAATTTGCTGCCTGATAAATCTGTCAATTACTGTTAGATGTTGAAGTCTTCATTTATAATAGATGTCTTTTTCTCCTTTCAGTTCTATCAGTTTTTGCCCTATATAGTTGTTCTGTTGTTCGGTGCATACACATTTAGGATTGTTATGTATTACTGGCAAATTAATTGTTTTATCATTATGTAATGTTCACATTATTCGTCATAACTTTTCTTGCTTAGAAATCTGCTTTGTCTGAAATTATTATAGCTATTACAGCCTTCTTTTATTATTATTATTCTTTTAAAGATGTAGGGTACGATTCAGGTTAGGTACATAAGTTGTCATCGTACAGATGAAGTTTGGGCTTCCCTTTGGTCCTCACTTCACCTGGTTTTGGATCAGTACCCTTATTGATGTTATGTGCCCCCTGCCGCTCTTGGCAGTGTCCCACTACTGCTAATCCCTTTTTTATAGTATTATAAATGTTCAGGATCTGTGTGAGTGAGAATATGTGATCCTCCCAAGGAGCTGGGACTACAGGTGCATACCACTATGCCTGGCTAATTTTTTTTTTTTAATTTTTTTGTAAGGATGGGTCTTGCTATGTTGCAAGCAGGCTGATCTCAAAGAACTCTGGGGCTCAAGCAATCCTCTTACCTTGGCCTCCCAATGTGCTGGAATTACAGGTGTGAGCCACTGTGGGCCTGGCCCAATTTTACTTCTTAGTAATAAAAAAAATTTTAGTGGTTGCTCTATAGCAGAGGTCCTCAAACTTTTAAAACAGGGGGCCAGTTCACTGTCCTCAGACTGTTGGAGGGGCAGACTATAGTTTTTTTTAAAAAACTATGAACAAATTCCTTTTTTTTTTTTAAACTGTAGTCCGCCCCTCCAACGGTCTGAGGGACAGTGAACTGGCCCCCTGTTTTAAAAGTTTGAGGACCTCTGCTATAGAGCAACCACTAAAATTTTTTTTATTACTAAGAAGTAAAATTGGGCCAGGCCCACAGTGGCTCACACCTGTAATTCCAGCACATTGGGAGGCCAAGGTAAGAGGATTGCTTGAGCCCCAGAGTTCTTTGAGATCAGCCTGCTTGCAACATAGCAAGACCCATCCTTACAAAAAAATTAAAAAAAAAAAATTAGCCAGGCATAGTGGTATGCACCTGTAGTCCCAGCTCCTTGGGAGGATCACATATTCTCACTCACACAGATCCTGAACATTTATAATACTATAAAAAAGGGATTAGCAGTAGTGGGACACTGCCAAGAGCGGCAGGGGGCACATAACATCAATAAGGGTACTGATCCAAAACCAGGTGAAGTGAGGACCAAAGGGAAGCCCAAACTTCATCTGTACGATGACAACTTATGTACCTAACCTGAATCGTTAGGTTTCTGTAAGTAAGTTTGAGTTTCTGACCTATATCATTTTCCTTCTCTCTGAATAATTTCTTTTATCATTTCTTGCAAGGCAGGTCTACTGAAAATAGATTTCCTCAAGTTTTGTTTGTCTAAAGGTTTTTGATTCTCCTTCCATTTTGAGGGAAAATTTCACTGGCTACAGAATTCTAGATTTGTGATTTTTTTTCCCTCACACTTAATGTATTTCAGTTCATTCTCTTATTGCTTGTATGGTTTCTGAAGAAAAGTCTGATGTAATTCTTATGCTTGTTTCTATAGGTAAGGTTTTTTCCCCTTTGTTT